GCTCATACACAGGCTGTCTGGGTGCTTATCTATATTTGTTACTTGGTCATTTACATTTGATAATGCCACTTACAAACATTATTTTTAACTTTTACAGGGCCCACACATTCACAGTCAACTTTTACCTATTTTTTTTTGCAAATGTTCTATATTCAAGTCTTAATTACTTTGATTTTTTTTCTGCTTTCTAAAAATGGTTATTATTGGTTAAAAAATTTTATCTTTTAAATATAGTTTTGAACACTTTCTAGGCCTTATTATGGTGCCTTATTATGGTCTCTTATGTACTAACGAGGCCGCTTGTAAATATACCCTTTGAGCTGGTGTCTGATTCCTGGTCAGCTACCCTCATTCAGTGTGCTTTGGGGGAAAGTGGATAGTAAATGTGGAACTGTTTTCAGCTTGACACTTCTCTAAGCCTTTTTGCTATCTACTTCCAAGAGAGAAGATGAGGCAGTTCAATGGTTATTCCAGAAAGTCCCCCCGTGGGGGAGTCACTCAGAAAAGGAAACTTTCTCTCATTCATGCCATGTCTGGGCCTAAGTCCCTTCATCTCAGCTTTTCAAATGAGCAACCTCTAGAGCTGCTTCAATCCCATTGTCTGAGCATCCTCAGCATCGTGCAGATTCCAAGTCCTGGCCTTGGGCCTCCAGGAGTGGAGGCTGGTAATTGAGAAGGAGTCATACATAGCACTCAAGTTGGGGAGTCAGTCAGTGATTGACTGCTTGCCTAACATTCATGAAGCCCTGGATTTGATCTCCAGCACTATCGAGGACTATGGGGGTCCAGCCCCTTGATAGTCTCCTCCCAGGGTCCGGGAAGAATCTACAACCAGCTGATAATTAATCTTTAATGAGAAGAAATGAATCTATGTACACGAAACTCCTTAGTTCATACACTTTATTATTCTGTGATAGTTCTCTCTCTACACAGCTTCTAGTCTGCTGATTTCTCTGTATTTGTCTACTGTCCCCTCTAGGTTCTATCTTAATTCCTTCATATAGTTCTGTCCCTTCTAGGTTCTCATCTATCTAGTTCTTTCCCCTATCAGCTCCTCTCCCATCTTCTTCTCTCTCATCTGGCTCTTCCTCATCTTCCATCTCATTCCTCTAGTCCTCTCTTTTAGCCCTTCAATCTAGTTCTTCCCCATCTCAGTTCGTTCCTCTCAAGTTCTTACCCATCTAGTTCTTCCATTCTCGTTTCTCTTCCCCACCCCCACCCCACCCCCCACCCCCGTGCCCTGGAAGTCTCGGTATATAAAGGGAGGGTCCGAGCTAAAATGTGTAAAGCTATTACTTAATGTCCACCTCTCCTAGGCGGTGTCTCCTTGTGGAATTTACCATAAGTCAGGAGACTTGCATGTGGGCTGTTATCATTGTTAGTCCTCGGAAGTCCGTCCGTCCCCCCCCCCCCTTCCCCGGCGGTGTCTCCTTGTGGAATTTAAGTCAGGAGACTTGCAGGTGGGCTGTTATCATTGTTAGTCCTCGGAAGTTGGGCGCCCACCTGGGTGGTGTTTCCTGTAGTCCTTGAAAGTGGCTAAGGGAGATAATCTGATTCCAAAGAAAGCCTTCCTGAGGCTGTTCTCCAAATACCTGGAATGTGTGTGTCCAGAGAGTGCTCAGTCTACACTGTTAGTTCTTCTTAGGGGAAAATCAATTGGGAAGACTATGAAGGCACACATGATTTTCATAACAGAAGACAGCTGATATATAACAAGGCAAGTAACACCGAAAACTCCTTGGGATTTGGTTTCCTCTGGAGGAATTCCATGATCCCTCCAGGTAGTGACTTTGCCATAACCAGCTGAGTTCTTATGATATATTCCTGCGGCCTGCAGCACAGCACCACCTAACCAGGTATGATGGTGCATGCCTGTGATCCCAGCTCAACTGTGACTAGAACAAGGGCAAGTAGAGACATGTAGTTGAAGAAGACAATCAGGTCAGTGGGTAGAAAATTACCTTTGGGAAGCTCCAGAGTGGAAGGGGAGACTGTCAACTCTATTTGACAAGACTGACACTGAAGGGTGACATCACGGGTAAGCAACAGGGAGTCTGGTCAGATACCAAGGGTAGGAGACTGTCACTAAACTGACACATCAGGTTTCTTACTAAAACTGGGCTAAATAAGCAAAGCTACTAAATTTAACCTACAGTCCAACGTCAAGGCTAAGTTAAAAAAAAGATTCAGAGAACAGCTCAAGTTTTGTCAAAGGAGAGTCTTTGTTAGGGGTTATTATTTCTATAGTAGAACTGATTTCCATCAATTTGTTTTTGGTTTTTGTTTGTTTGTTTCCGAAACAGGGTTTCTCTGTGTAGCTTTGCGCCTAGAACTCGTTTTGGAGACCAGGCTGGCCTTGAACTCACAGAGACCTGCCTGCCTCTGCCTCCCGAGTGCTGGGATTAAAGGCGTGCGCCACCATTGCCCAGCGATTTCCATCAATTTTTAAGGTTAGAGTTTTACCATATTGTCCTGGCTGGCCTGGAATTCATTATATAGTTCAGGCTATCCTCAAACTCATAAAAATCCACTTGTCTCTGCCTCCCAAGTGCTAGGAATAAAGGAGTGAGCCATCATGCTCAGTTAATATAAACAAGCAAAATGGCTTAAAGAAATATTAAGTAAACCAGAGTATAATAGTACATAGCCTAAATTAGGATGGTAGTATGGGAGTGGCTGTACTTTTGGAAATACCTCATCTAGCTAAGCCTCCTGTTACATGGATAACAATATGATGGAGCCCGTAAGAAGCAGTTCATTTGTTACCAGGCCAATGCCTTGAGATTCAGCTGGTGCTTTAATCAGCTCAGGCTGGTATAATACAATCCACAGCTTAAGAACAACAATTTAGTTTTCACTATTTGGAAGGAGCCTGGCCCCAGCGTCTTGTGGGTTGCAGACCATCAGGTGGTGGTTGTACTTCACATGGGGGACAGCCAAGCAAAGGATAGAAGATCTCTAAGTTTTATTTGTCAGAGTGCCACTCTCATGACCTCAACTAACTATAATGTCCCAAAGGCTGCTTGGAATAATATCACATCGAGGGACAGAGTCCCAGCATATGAACTTAGATCTGGGGACCCCAAAAATTCATTCCACAACAGCTAGAAACTTGTAGTTTTGGTCCACAGCAAAAAAAGAGGATTGTTACTGTTTCCTGGATACCAGTATATCTACTTATCAACAGGGTGCAGAACATTTAGGACATTTTGTAAATCCATACCCTGATATTACTTCTCTGAGGCAGGTTTTCTAAAGAAAGCCACAAGGAACGCTCCAGTTCTTATCTGGTCTTCATTCACTGTGGCGAACTGGGTGGGGCCAGGGCTTGAGGAGAGACTGCATCTGTAAATATAAGGCGCACTTCTGAGCTAAGATCTAGCGATTTGGGATGTGTGTGGAAGCAGATTACTGTAGCACCTGCAACTCTTAAGATGGAGTAGGCAACATTGTAATTCTTTATTCCAGTTGCTTTGTTTTACAGCAATGCTTTGTCATCAGCCCAAATACATGAACAAGGAAACGGTAGTCAAGTACAGCACCAGAGACTTCCTCTCTCACCCTAGCAACATGTCAGCCTCAGGCACCAGACAAAAACACCCAAAGCTACGTGTAGGGTTCACGTCAGTGAAAGTGGAGGACTTTAAGCCTAGTGTGTAATGCTGTTCCGTCCCAAGGTTCCTATTAGGGTTCACTTCTAGGTACATTTCATCAGTCGCTGGTATGGTCCCTGGCATCTTGACTTCACGTCTTTAGAGAGAAGCTGGGGAGGCCGGCTCAGGAGCATTTGACAAAGTGCTTTGCACAGCTAGATGTGAATTCCACTTGCCTAGAAGCTTACGCTAAAACCACGAGTAGGGCTGACCCACATGCAGCCGGGCTTTCCTTTGCCGGGACAACCTTGTGAGACCTCTAGGAGCGAGAAGCGCGCCAAGAACACGGGCTCTAAGGCGCACTCGTTGCCACCCTAGAAGACGGTCACTGCTCTGCACCAGCACCCAACCAGAAAGACAACAAATAAAAATGGAACACAGGCCTCGCGTTTGGACCCGAGGCCCCAGCGAGCTAGGTGAGCAAAGAAAGCAGGGCGAAGGGGCTATTCCCCAAGTCAGCTTGCTTCATTCAAACCCGGAGGACAGCAGACCCCGCCTCCCTTCGCCGCCGCCTGCTCAATCGCCGCGCGCTCCGGGTGTGTGCTCGCCCCGCGGGGAGCGGCTTTCAGCTGAGGAGGCGGTGGCAGAGGCGGTTCGGGCAGCCCCGTTCGGCCGATAGGCCCAGGCAAACAACACCCATTTCCCCCTCCCCAGCGCTGGGTTCAACTCCCACTCGGCCCCGGCCACGCCCTGCTGCCACCGCCCCCTCGGGCAGCTCTAGGCTCTGCAGCCAGGCCGCGCTCGGGGGCGGGAGGAAGGCGGTGCCTCGCTGGGTTCTCGGCCAGAAACTACAAGACCCGAAAGCCTTTGCGGCAGAGGCCCGCCCGCCTCCGCCCACGACTCGGGGCGCGTCAGCGGCATCATCCAATGAGAGCCGAGCCAGGGAAAAAGGGCGCCCGGGTCCGGATGCGCCTTAGGAAAGCCATGCTCACGCCGCGGGGGCAGCCGGCAGTCCATCCAGCGAGCCGTGCCGCGGGGAGCCGGCGCTTCCCCGCGCTCGCCCCGCTCTCCTCCCTTGAGCCTAGCCCCGTGTCTTTCTTCCGCGGCCCCTGGCAAGATGCTATGGTGCACTTTTGAGTGGAGGGCGCCGGGAACTGAGTAGGGGGCGGGATATCCTGAGACAACAAGTTTGGCTGTATGGAGGGCCTGCCGGTAGCACGCCGCGGCTAGCTCGCCGGGAGAGCACGCACCACGGGCCGAGGAGGCAGAAGCAGAGCGGCGGCGAACACCAGCCGGGCAAAGGGGAGGAGAGGGGGCGGCCCCAGCGCCCCGGCCCCGGCAGGTCGGCGGCCAATCCGCTGGGGGAAGGGGTGGAGAGTCGGCGGCGCCGGCGGAGGCAGGCCGAGGGGGGTGGGGAGTCGCCGCGCTCGCACCGCCCTGGCTCCGCCCCCGGCCCGCGCCGCCGCCCGCGCCGCACGCCGCCGCTGTCAATCAAGGGCGAGTCAGCCGGGCTCGGGCGGAGAGAGGAGCTGCTACGCCACAGCCCAGCGGCGGCCATTCGCGGAAAAAGAGGCAGAGCCTGTGCCAGCTACAGCCTCCTCCGAGCCACCCCGGGCGGGCGGGACCGGCCTCTCCTCCCGCCTCGCCCCCACCCCCACCCACCTCTATCCCAGTGTCTCTGTGAGGGTTTGTCCTGTTAATGCGGGATGAGCGGTACGTATTCTCCACCCCCCTCGGTCTCCTTCGCCGCCTCCCTCCGTCCCTCCCTCCCCAGACCCTGCTCGCTTCCCCCTCCCCCGGGGCCGCCGAGATGCTGGAAGGGGAGGAGGAGAGGGCGGGAGGGAACCAGGGGGAGGGAAGGAGGGCTGTGTTTTGTCTTAATGTCTGAGCTAGAACAACCTCCTTCTGGGTGTTGCTCTGGAGCCTATGGGTCGGGTTTCAAACCACGTTTTGTGAGCGCCCCCTCCTCCCTTCCCCTCCTTCTCCCCCACCCCTGCCGGTGTGCACGGATCGCGGGTTTATGGAGATTAATGTTCAGAAGGAGGGAGGGGGGAGAAGGGAGGAGAACGAATAATAATAATCCTAATAACCTGTTGTCGTGTGTGTTGGGGGGGGGTTGTTGCAGATCAGAAGAAGGAGGAGGAGGAGGAGGCGGCGGCGGCAGCGGCGATGGCTGCAGAAGGAGGGAAAACCTCTGAGCCAGAGAATAACAATAAAAAACCCAAAACCTCAGGCTCCCAGGTAAAAGCAAACGTTAAAAAAATAATAATAATCATTCAACACGAAGCCTTAGGGAAGACAGGGAGTTATGCCCTCTCAATACCCAGAAGTAAAGAACAGAACAAAAATGTTTAGCTACTCAAAGCATCTTTCTGAGTGAGAAACTTAAATTGTAAATTCATAAAGATGTCCCATAGTTGAGGCTATAGCGGTGTTTAGCATTACATCAGGAATTGAGACTGCTAGAAAACAGTGTCTATTTTCCCAAGGGCATTTTGAGTTTAGAAGAATAACACTTTAAGAAAGTTTACCAGAAATTTCCTTTTTTTATTTAAACTTTATGTAACAAGACTTGCCTCCTTATTCATATAGCTTCTACCTGCCTTTATTCATATTTCCCCTTTAATTCTGCTGCCTGTTGAGTGTGTTCTGATACTTAGAGCTCTCAAAATAAATAACCCCCTCCCACTACTGTCTTCCACTAAATCCGCCCACTTTTTTCCCCCTCCCTCTCCTTTCCCCTCCCATTTTGGGTAGGACTCTCAGCCCTCTCCTCTGGCTTTACTGGCAGCTACTTGCAGCAAAATAGGGACCCCCGGTGAAAATCAAGCAACTGGACAGCAGCAGATTATTATAGACCCAAGCCAAGGACTGGTACAACTTCAGAGTCAACCACAGCAGCTGGAACTGGTGACCACGCAGCTTGCTGGCAACGCTTGGCAACTTGTTGCCTCCACGCCTCCTGCTTCAAAAGAAAATAACGTTTCTCAGCCAGCTTCTAGTTCATCTAGTTCTTCCAGCAGTAATAACGGGAGTTCCTCTCCTACAAAAACGAAATCAGGTAACTCTTCCACTCCTAATCAGTTCCAAGTCATACAAGTACAGAATCCAAGCGGTAGTGTACAGTACCAAGTGATCCCCCAACTTCAGACGGTGGAAGGTCAGCAGATTCAAATCAATCCAACTAGTAGTTCATCTCTACAGGATTTGCAGGGTCAAATTCAGCTCATTTCTGCAGGTAATAATCAAGCTATCCTCACGGCTGCTAACAGGACAGCTTCTGGTAATATTCTTGCTCAAAACCTGGCAAATCAGACAGTTCCAGTACAAATTAGACCTGGTGTTTCAATACCATTGCAATTGCAGACCCTTCCTGGTACTCAGGCTCAGGTTGTAACAACCCTACCAATTAACATTGGAGGAGTGACTTTAGCTTTGCCAGTGATAAATAACGTGACTGCCGGAGGAGGGACTGGACAGGTTGGCCAGCCTACGACTACTACTGATAGTGGGACTTCCAATGGGAATCAGTTAGCGTCTACGCCCACCACCACCACCGCTTCTGCCAGTACTATGCCTGAGTCGCCCTCTTCCTCCACTACCTGCACAACCACTGCGTCGACCTCTCTAACAAGCAGTGACACATTAGTGAGTTCAGCAGATACGGGCCAGTATGCAAGCACGTCAGCCAGTAGTTCTGAACGCACCATTGAAGAGTCGCAAACACCTGCTGCTGCCGAGTCTGAAGCCCAGAGCTCCAGTCAGCTGCAGCCCAATGGGATACAGAATGCACAGGATCAATCAAATTCTCTTCAGCAAGTGCAGATTGTAGGCCAGCCTATCCTGCAGCAGATCCAGATCCAGCAGCCTCAGCAGCAGATTATTCAAGCTATCCCACCACAGTCATTTCAGCTCCAGTCAGGGCAGACAATTCAGACCATCCAGCAGCAGCCTTTGCAGAACGTTCAACTTCAAGCTGTAAACCCGACTCAGGTGCTTATCAGGGCTCCAACTTTAACACCTTCAGGGCAAATCAGCTGGCAAACCGTCCAGGTTCAGAATATTCAGAGTCTTTCAAATTTACAAGTTCAGAATGCTGGGTTGTCTCAGCAGCTGACCATCACCCCCGTGTCTTCAAGTGGTGGCACGACTCTTGCTCAGATCGCACCTGTGGCCGTCGCGGGCGCCCCGATAACTTTGAACACTGCCCAGCTTGCATCAGTGCCTAACCTCCAGACAGTGAGCGTTGCCAACCTGGGTGCTGCGGGCGTTCAAGTTCAGGGAGTTCCAGTAACAATCACTAGTGTTGCAGGTAAGCAGCATCTTTTCTTTTTGATCTGTTGTCAGCAGGGCTTAGTGACAGTTACCGCTCCGGGTTCACTTTCAGATTTGATACACCTGCGAGGTACACAAACTGGAGAGGAGTCAAAACTGAACCATCACACCAGCAGCCATGTTTAGTTACCAGTGTGATCTCTTCATTTCTGTAGCTTTTAGCACTCAGTTTTGTGTGTTGAATTTGTTAAATAATTTAAATTATTTCATAAAGCATCATTTTTCTGATTAGAGCCATAATTATAGAGATCATATTTGAGTACACTTGAACTCTTCCGGAAGAGGAGCTCATCTCTTCTTGATGGAAAGTTGGCTTAACTTGAATTGGTATATGGTTGTGACTGTGTTGAAATGTTAATTCTGTGTAATTTTTTTTTAATTAGGCCTCATTTTTCAGCATTTTGTTTTTGACGTATTTTTGCTTTAGTGTATAGAGTAGTTATAAACTAGATACTGTTGTAGTTAAGATAGAAATTTAAGTTACAAATTGTTTTATCAAGTTGTATGTCTTTTTTTTTCTGCTATACTCGGGATTAGCTCAGGATTGTGACTTTAATGGTATTCGATGCATAAAATTTAAGGAAAAGCCTTGTGGTCCTTATTAAAACATGTTTTAAATTATTTAAATGTGTCTAGTGTGAGATTGGTGAAAAACAATTAAAAACTAGGTAGTAAAATGTCATTAACTTGAACAAATTGTGGCCATCTTGTTTTTAAACTAGCTATAAAAACAGTTGCTATTTCTTTTGCATATAGTTAGGTACATCTGAAGTACTTAAAAACCTAGTTCCGTTAAGTAGTGTAATCTTTTTGGGGAGCAGTCTTATGGTACCAAAAGTCTTACTGTTCTTAGATGTCATTGATTCTGAGTTGGTGGAAACTGGCTTTGATTTTAGTACCTTTGATCTTTTCAAATTTTGTCAAATAAAAATTTGTGTTTTGGTGTTTTAAGATTGAATTATGCTTGTCCTTCTTGAATGACCTTTTGCGAAACGAGGTGCAGAAAAATTAAGAGGGAGTTCTTCTTCCACAGTTAACAACTCAAGCCGACATATACTTAAAAGTTATCCATAGAGAGCCTACCCGTTCAGGAGAACCTAATTTGTTTTCATCTCTTTCCTCTCGACCAGCACTACCCAGTAGAACTTGGTGTGATGTTTGAATGCTGTGTCTGTCCTGTCCAGTGATATCCAATATCTACACATTGATTGAGCACATAAAACATGGTGAAAATAGTATTACTGAGGAAGTGAACTTCAAGTTTTATTTAAGTAACCACATTTAGCTAGTGCTCTTGTATTGACAGTGTATATTGTCAGTATTTTGAGTGTAATTCTTCACCTAAAGGTTTCAGTACCCAAGTATGTAAGTGATGGTTCAGTTTCCAGTCCTTACTCTGTGTAGTTGCTGATCATTCTAAACATAAACTGGAGTATTTCAGTACAGTGTCTGGTTTTGGTGTTTTGAATAATAGTTTGCATTGTCAAAGCAGAAATTATTTCATTTGTATTTCATCTTGCCTGTTAAACATTAGTGAGTTGGGGTTAATAGCATTGAGTAATTTATAAACTGGGTTTTTAGATTTAGAAATGGCCAGTTCTTCTGCTCTCTCATTAATATCTTGCAATCTAGAAGTTCCCTCTTACTAAGTGTGAACATAGTTCAGTATTCTGACCCCCTCAACTCCAACTCCTGGAATGGTGCATAATAAATAATGGAAGATCCAGCGTTTAGGGGTAAAATTTGGGGGCAGAGCTAGAATCAAGGGTCAAATCAACAGTGAGTCAGAAGGCAGAATTGGGAGCAGGTGGTGCTAAGCCAGTTCATATGTGCTCGAGTGTGTTTTACTGGCAAATATACCATTTTAGGTCCCCCCCCCACACACATACCCCAGCGACTACTATGTGCCAAACGCTCCTGCTAGATATGTCTATTCCTATATTTTCATGGGCAGTTTTTTTTCTTAGAGTTTACATATTTTAGGAGATCTGCTTAAGTGTATAAGGAAAACTGAAGTCAACACATAAAGAATTTCCTCCCTGCTGAAAGCCAACAATTTAAAATTTTGTTGATACTTTAAAGAGATGACTATAGTATAAAGAGCAGAAATAGACCCTGGTTTCTACAAGTTAAATGTAGTTAATTTAGGCTTAGCTGTTGGCAGTTTTAGGCTATTAGCTAGCAAACTGGAGAGTATTCTTTGAAGGTTTGGAACATGGGAGCAATGCCCTACAGTGGTTACATTGAATCTAATGAAATTGCTTTGTTTTCATTAATTTATTTTTACATTTAAAATACACTAGAAGCAGAACACTAAACACTTTCTTAAGAAGAGGAAGAACACCTGCCTACATCATCTTTGTAAATGAGCCCTAGTTTAGAGATAATACTTTGGGTTGCCATTTTCTGTTACTTCACATTTTCCTTCCAGAATGGTGGTGTTGAATTTATGGAAAATATTTACTGTTAATATTCACAGGTTTAAAAAAAATGTTATTTTACTTTTAATTGACACATAATTCATGTACATAGTTGTGGAATACAATGTGAAATTTCAATACACTACACAGTGTGTAATAAGATCAGAGTACTTAATATCATTACCTCAGACATTGGCCATTTCTTTGTCTTGGGAACATTCAAAATTCTGCCTGCTACTCAATTACTGTCAACCACTACTATCCCACTGTGCTGTAGTTGGGTATTAGATGATAGGTCTGTCTAAATAACTGTACCTACTTTCCTTCTCCCCAACCTTTCCCTCATCCTGGTAACGGTCTGGTCTCCACTTTGACTTTACTCTTTTAGACAGGATTTTACACAGTGCAGGGTGGCCTTCAAGCTCACTAGGTAGCTAATCAGGCCTTGAACTAACCCTTCTAATTCTGCCAGTGCTGGGATTACAGATATGCACCACCATGCCTGATTTATAGGGTGCTAGGAATAATCATGTATGTTACACAAGCACTCTGCCAGCTGAGCTACATTCCAGGACCCCTCCACCTATAAGTTAGAATATGCTCATGACAAATATCAGAGCTTGGAAAAATTGTTAGTTACCTTTGACAGAGTGATGGCTAGCTCAAGAACAAGGCTTAACATTTCTTAGGGTCCAGGATCATTTTACCTTCTTAGGGAGTGGAGGGGGTCTGTATGATAGGACAGAAGAGGAAGAATCACACAAGGCAAATCGAATGAATTCAGATTTTGAAGGTGGAGAGCTTCACAGTTTTATGAAATGACAAGCTTTTTTCCTTGGTAATACATTCAGAAAAATTGCTTTCTTTGCTCTGCTCTTGTCTGAAAATCCTGATTTCTAGGCTAAGCATTTAATTAGTTAGAAATGTAGTTATAAGTAAAGCCTTGTACCCAATACATACTTTGTTTTCTTGTTGGGAAGAAGAATTTTTGAGCCATGTTAGGTGGTTTGCACATTTAATCCCAATAGGGGTGGTAGAGGCAGGCAGAGCTCTTGAAATCTGTTTTAACTAAGTAAAAATAGAAGTTTTGCCAGTATTCTCACAATGCTCTCTGGTCTTCAGGAGTTACATCTTTTTTATGTATGAGAGCTAATGGGTACTATTGGTTTCTACTTCAGTAATTAACCTGGACTGGTCCACACTATCATGCTATAGGCCTTTTGCTTGATTAAGTGATTATTTTTCAGTTTCAGCAGAAACTAAATTTTTATGCTAGTTTTCCCATAAAGGAGGTTGAGACTTAAGATGTTGCTGACAATTCAAGAACTTGTCTCTTACATAATTCCTTTGCTTTTATAGGGTATTAAAGTCTAAAAACCTGGGGATATAATATGAAGCCAGGAATGGAAAGGCCAGTTCTTAATGACTGTTTAAAAATGGGAACCAAAGACTATAAAGCTTACATTTAATTTAAAAGTCCAAATTTAACTTAGTCAACTTTTTAACATCTACCTTTTCTTCTGAGTTACTCAAAGTAGAAAATTGCCTGAGGCTTAATACAGATACTCTTCTTCTTTGTTGTATATGCTCTGTGGGTTTGGATTTTCATTTTGGGCGTCTTAGAACCATACCTGTATATATTACCCGCACTCTTGTGCTTGGTTATTTCCTTTTCATATGAGTCAGTTATTCTGTTACTTTTTCACTAAAATCTTCTAATACTCTATAAATAGATTGAACTTCATTATAAAGGCACTTAAGTTTAGGCTCTGAACTACCTACCAGTTTGACTCTAGCTTTCCGAAACTTTTTTTTTTTAAATAGAAGATAAAAAAGTACTCCATGTAAAGCCACATTAGTTTTTAAAGGACATCTGTGCTGGCTTGCTTTAGGTCATCTTGACACAGGGTAGAGTCATTTGAGAGGAGAGAACCTCAATTGAGATAATGCGTCCATAAGATTGGGCTGCAGGCAGGCCTGTAGGGCACTTTTTAGTGAGTGATTGATGTGGGGAGGGCCCAGCTCCTTATAGGTACCTACCCCCCTTCCTACCTCTGGCTGGTGGTCCTGGGTTCTAAAAGAAAACAAGCTGAGCAAGCCAGTAAGCAGCACTCCTCCAGGGCCTCTGCATCACTTCCTGCCTTGGCTTTTTTCAATGGAGTGTAACTCAAGATATGTAAAGCCAAATAACCTCTTTCCTCTCCAAGTTGTTTTTGGTCATGGTGTTTCATTACAGCAATAGTAACCCTAACTAAGACACCATCTCTAGGGAGGGATTGAAGGGCACAGGAGCAAAGAAAAACACTTCTCTTCTCCTTTTCAAATTTTATTTTATTTTTTGTTGGTTTGTATTTTAGATGACAGGGCCTCCCTGTGTAAGTCAGACTGGCCCCATGCTCACTTTAAGCCCAGGTAGTCTTGAGTTTGTGATCCGACTTTCAGGAGCACCGAGATTCAAGTGCTCCTGGCTGATTTTCAGTTTCTAATTTAGAGAGTATGTAAGAAATACTTAAGGAATATTGGAACAAGCATTAAGACAGATTGAAGAGAAAATAGA